AACCCCAATCATTTCCTCGGCGTCGACTCGAATCGGGAGGAGAGAACCGGCGACTTCGAGGCTCTTCGTCTGCTCTGCGACGGAGCCAAGTGGACGTCGCCTTATATAAGCGGTCGTCAGCGTCCTTCATGTTGGCGAAATCAGAGGTTTGGGCGAAACGCCTTGTGTTCTGAGCCTTTGATCACGGAATCGCTAATCACCTCTTGAACCTTCGCCAATTGTCTTAATCTGCCGTGGTTGATGGACGCTCACGCTAGCGATAGTAATTAATGGATTTTGAAAATCTGTGAATTACGTCCATCGAAGGCAGGTGTTTAACCTATGCTGCGTTCGGAACTCCTCGTCTTGCTCGTCCAGACAACTTGTCCAGGACCAGCAGGACAAGTGGGTCGCGTTCGGAACCTCCAAGACCCTTTCTGCACAGAATGCAACCGGCTCGAATGTAAACATTCCCTTTTATTCATTTTATTGTTTATTTATTTATCTATTTATTTTTATCATACCGGTCTTCATTTTACACGCTGCTTTTTGCTCCTTTGAGACATATTTAACTTGCCTGCAACTCACAAACATATCCTTTGATAACACAAAAAAATGAATTATATCAATATCTTGTTAACTGTCAGTGTTTACATACAAAAGCTATTGTGACGTCTCTATCGTCCTTCTCCAGTGCCTCCGCCAGGTACTTAAAATTTAGGTTTTTCCTCTCGTGGACTTTTTAAGGGGCTTAAGTTGAACGGTGAGGGCCAAAGAGGCATTGAGAGTGGCAGCTCACTACACTAATACTCAAAATACCAAACAAACAATATCAAGTGGACAAGGGCACGGAATGAGAGAATGACATACGCCCAGACACACACACACACATATACACACGATATATATATATAATATATATATATATATATATATATATATATATACATCTGTGTGTGTGTGTGTGTGTGTGTGTGTGTGTGTGTGTGTGTATATGTATATATATATAATATATATATATATATATATATATATATATATAATATATATATATATAGACACACACACACACATATATGTTGTGTGTGTGTGTGTATACATACATATATATAATATATATATATATATATATATATATAATATATATATATATATATATATATATATATATATATATATACATACATATTGTGAAGGGTTAAGGTGGTGGTTTCGTAGTTTGTTGGTCTGTTGTCTTCGTCGGGTCTTTTGTTCACCACCTCCGATTCAACCCGAAGCGGATCGACTTCTCCTGGAGGCGGCAACCCCCGTATGGCTCCGGTCTTTGCTTCACGGACCTTCATGTGTTTTATTTGCTAAATGAATATATTTACGCGTGTAGATAAAATATATAAATATTGAAATGTTATTCTAAATTGTAAAAGAATATTAGATCTTTGTTTGTTAAAGGAAATGAAATGACATGAGGTGAATAATAAGTGACATAAATGAGAACACAAATCGACGTAATTTTTTTTCCTGCTGAATATGTTTCTTTTCAGCCTTTTGTTAAGATACTTAACAGCTTTGATGTGAGGTCCGAGACCATACCTGTGCGTGCTGTACCATACCTATAACTAATGTGTATTCCATGATATATACTTATTTTCTGCACCATGTGTAAATGTGATGAATATATTTTTGCATGTATCTGAAAGTGTGTACCTTTTATTCCTCGAGCAAAATCAATCATCCACAGAATACAAAATAACGAACCGTCAGGGAACTTATCAAATTAAGTAAATCCCTGACACACACACACACACACACACACACACACACACACACACACACACATATATATAATATATATATATATATATATATATATATATATATATATATATATATATATGTGTTTATATATATATATATATATATATATATATATATATATAATATATATATATATATATATATATACATCTTGAAGTATGTGTGTACGTGACTGCCATATATGAATTAATAAACTATATATATATATATATATATATATATATATATATATATATATATATATAATATATATATATATATATATATATATATTATATATATATATATATATATATGTATGTGTGTACGTATGCGTGTGCGCGTGTGTGTGTGCGTGTATACTATACATCTATCTTTATGGTCTGATGACTGTGTGACGTCAATGTTTGCATCCTTGATCCAATTTTGCGTGAAACATTTATCCGCAAGTTACGTTCTTCTGCCACTGCTAGACACGAGTGAATCAGCACAGCTGGCTGAGTTCGAAGAGATGATCAGGCCTTCCTCATTGAACAAAGAGATAAAGACTCAAAGGCTGATAGAAAAAAGGCATCTCGCCGGTCTCTCATCCCACACCTTGTTCGCGTTTCCTTGAGCATCGAAGACCACTTATATAAGGTGATCCTCAACAATTTCTGTCTTAGTGTCAGAGGAAGAGCCTGAGAGTTCCTGATCGTCGCTCCTGCCCTGTGTCGACTCGAAAGACATGGCTGCCGTTGGACCGATGCGGGCAGCTGTCCTGGTGTCCCTGCTGGTGGCAATCCCGGCCTCTGCCACCACCTCCGGAGACGAAAATGAGATTCCGACGCTCCTCCGACATACCCAAAAAGTCTCTCCTGTAAGTTCCTTCGCAGGAGCCCACAGCTTACACAAGCGCAGCCTATCCTTCAGGTCCTGCACGGGCGTCTACGACCGCGAACTCCTTGCAAGGCTCGACCGCGTGTGCGAAGACTGCTACAACATCTACCGCGACGTCGGAGTGGCAGCCGAATGCAGGTAACTTATCGCATTGCAGTAACCCGCTCAGCTGGGTTGTGATTATAGGTAAATAACCAGCTTATGCTAAAAATTATATGGTCCTAGATCTTTGTAGCGTTCGAAACATTTTAGGACATTAGTATACTATTCAACCCTTTAAAATAACAAGGTCGAAGTAATTTTATTATGAATAAAAGATGGATATACAAGAAACGCGTTGAAATCGCCCTTTGCCTATAAAGCATTTATAGTCATAAAGACTTAAATAGTCTGTAAAAAGTGCATTATTTCTTATCTCTCTCAATATTATAGTTTTTATTCTTATTCACACCTCTACTATATAGCCGAATCTTTCCCTATCAGAAGAGTTACATTACTTTACTCCTTCCTGTAGGAGTGACTGCTTCCACAACGAGGTATTCCTGTACTGCGTCGACTACATGTACCGGCCTCGCCAAAGGAACCAGTACCGGGCCGCCCTGCAGAGGCTCGGCAAGTAGGCGCTTCCTCTCCGGCCACACCTTCTACGGCGACGCTCGTGCGATGATTCTCCAGACGACCAGACCAGATTCCTCTTTGGTTGCTTTTGTATCCTGAGTTAAAAGCTGAAATAGTGTTGGCGTTGAAGCGTTTTTTTTTTTTTTTTTTTTTTTTTTTTTTTCCTTACAATATGCATCTGTCGAATAAAAATGTAAAACAAATATATGTGAATTTTCCTTTAAAAATTACAGTAACCTAGAACAATTGGTCGAGAAGGAGATTGGCAAGGCTGCAAATGTGGGTGTAATTTTAGTTACAAATATACACAATATGTAGAAGCACAATACATACATACACGGGTGTGACAAAAATAACGATGATTGGATTCATCCTTATCATATAAATAATCATAATGATAATGATACTAGCAATAGTGATTATCAATAGTGATAACACTCCTGAACATAGCATGTGGCCGAAGGGAAAAAGTAGGTCAAACGAGTAAAGAATAAGTATTCATGGATGCAGGCAAAAGCCTCTCATTTATGTGCAAGATGAGAGACATCGCAACTCAAACGTTTTGACAAGAAGTAAATCGATAATTCCTCTAGTTTAAGGGAGAGTGTACCCAATATCGTTTATTTTTTATATAAAGATTTCCTGGATTACTTGACTTTTTTTTAAGTAATTCGGTTCTTACCCCTACTGTCTCTTTTACATTCTTTCCCTTGTTTATTTCGATTATCCAGTCAGTTTTCCTCTCTGATGAAGAGACCTTGTGCCAAGAAGTGCTACGGTTCTATATTGTCCTGTGTGAATGTGTTTTTTCATTTCACGCATACGCATGGATGCGTGCACACACACACACACTTATACATATATGGAATAATATGTATGACTTGATATACCCTTTTTTTTTTTTTTTTTGGGGGGGGGGGGGGGGCGGGCACAATCAGAAATTGAGGGACTGACAGACTTTTTAAGGGCAAAGATTTTTTTTCCTGACAACCATTTGACTTTTAGTCATTGGCCCAAAACCTGGCGGTTTTCCCTCAAACAATAATTAACGACTTCAGTAGGGGACGATGTCGGTAGACATTCCAAGCTTCTTAGGATAGTTCTTAAATGAGGTTAGCTTGGTGGCTCATGGATTAGCTTTTCCTGCTTCCATGTCCATAGCCTTCATTTGCGCCAAGCATCAAAGTGCTCCTCGCGCGCGTTCGCTTGGATACCCCGTCCCACCCGTTTTCACATGAGGACCAGTCAGTCGGCAGCGCCTGAAAGAGAGCTAATCAATATGGCAGTGCCTACGAGGGGAACTTTTTGGGCATTTCTCAGAAAAGCCCGGGATAGGTGCAGCACGATATGTCACGCGAAGGGGAGGCTCAGTTCGGATGGACGGAACGCATAAACCGTGGGTGAAATCCCTAAACCTTGAATACCTCCGTCGATCGAAAAACCATTCCTGTGCGAAGTTTGTGACGTGACGTAAATACGTCCGCTCGGTGAACCTTTTGCTGCCACCGAGAAACACACCTAGCGATCGCGAGAGGGGGGTGCATGGCTACAGATGTTAAATGTTCTGTTGACAATGTAGTGATCGGAACTTTTACGTGAGTCACCCCTTTCTTACATGGAGCGCCATCTCTCGGGCTAAATAACGAGCCATGTTCTTAATAGCACATTTTATATAATTTGATTGTTTTATCTATCGTTTTATTGAGTTTTAGGTGGTTTATTTGTTAATT